CGAGACATTTTGCATCCAGCATTATCCCATCGGAGAAATGTTTTGATGCGGTGAAACGAAAGATTGCGAATCTAACGCTTTATTTTCAGAGACATTTTGCATTTTTCTGTTCGGAGAAACTCAACCAAAGATTCCAGCTGGGAATGAATCATCGGATACTGTGTACCTAGTTTGATACTACCATGTGTATGCTATCTATTATGTAAAACTATTTTTCAAATTACAGTATTACATAGAATTGTGAAAAGGAATCTAGGATAGCCGAACTCTCTGACCACGATGTTCTAAAGGGATGATAGTGTTATCATTCATTCTATCGGTCATGGTGGCTGGATCCACGCGTGTCCACTTCGAAGATGTCTGCAGGGCAACCCCTAGTAGGCTGGTTTGTAGTTGACATTGCTGCGATACAAACTCCCGCTTCGTTTGGCCGGAAGCTTTTCGAACTTTGGCATTCAAACTCAGCGATGCAATGTCGAAAACGAGGCCCTTCAACAGGAAATCAAAAGTGGGAAGAGCGTCATGATCCTGCATGATCTCGAGAGCGTTTCGGACACATGCCAAAGAGATGACTGAAATTGGGAAATATAGTGTATAGAGCTTGTTGCTCCACCAACTGCAAGAATCTTGTGCTTTGCTGCTCCTCATCCTTTTCTTCTTTTCCACCCACAGAATCGAAATTCCAAAGTTGCAGTTGCTCTTGGGCATACGCTTTTGCCAGTGAAAGAATCGTTGGTGGGGTAATATGAAAGCCCAAGTCGAACAATATCACCAACTCCATTGCTTCAATATCTTCAGCGAGAATTTCTTGTCGGGAAATTTGCTGTAACAAAGCAGGTGTCAAGCAACGGGCGGAAGATGTCTTGGCGGCTATGTACAGACATGTCATTGTGACCTTTTGAAACCGAGAAGTGTCTTTTAGAACCTCCCATTTGTTCGACAGCGACCCGCAGTTGCAAATCAAGAAGCGATCCAAGAAGTTGAAGGCCACGTCCACGACATCGTTTGACAACTTGCAGCCATCTGCCACAACGTAACACCAATTTGCCATGGTACGAAACCAATCTAGAACTGGGGATTGGTCGTCAAGGTCAAATCCTTGTAAACATTGGGCCCGGTAAGATTTTGTCTCCTGTTTTAACATAACTTGAAGGGAACTAGTTGGCTGCTGCAAGTAGTTCGATTCTGAACTCATTGCTTGCCCCTCAGGACTACTGGGTTGTTTTCCATTTTGAAGGGGGTGCTTGATTTCCAAGCTTTGTTCTTCAAACAGTTCTGAAGGAAGGGATGTTGGCGATGACGAAATTGCTTCAATCATGATAATTTTCTAATGACAGTAGGTTCCTCCTTGATGCAGTTGGAGCCTGGGGAATGAGGACTCATTCCAAGATATTATGACTTGGAGACACTGTGAGCCGGAGAATTCGTCCCCAGAAACATTACTTAGAGAAAAAAATTGTGACTGCTGTTCTAATATATA